GTTCACTTCCTTCCGTACAAAATAAACTGTTCCTACCACTCTGGCCTGCCATGGCTTCTCCGAAGGAACCGGAGTCTGAAGATCGCAGTTGCTAGAGTTTAACTTAATTAACCCCCCTGCGATACACTCAACCAAAGTTGCTGCTAAGAGTGGACAACAGAACGGTGAGAACTACTAAAACCGAAGGACCTTGGGATATATACAACGCAGTACGCATTCAAAGACGGGCTTAAAGATTTTATTCAAAGCAAAGACGAGCCGCCCACTACGATGCAGAGGTTATCGGCACCGTGGCGGAGGAAAGCAGAACTATGGAAGTAGATAGGCAACATGCTTAAACCCGCGCTGGCCTTGCCGCAAGTCCATACTGCTTAATCGTAGTTGCCGGATTCAACTGAATGTCATTTATTCCATGTTTCCAGTACTTCGACTGACCCAATTGTGAAAAATTCGCGGCCTCGGTGGGAGTCTAACCCAGGCAACAGGGTAGGCTTTTGCGCAGCCAAGGAAACTCAGCGGATACTTTCGACGACAGGGGCAGTCGCCATATGGCTAACTTATCCGATTTTGTGCGCGCAGAAGGCGTTTATACAGGCACTAGGACTCCTTTGGCTGAGGACGAACTCAGCTTGCGTTTTCACACCTCCTACCATGTCGCGTCACAGTGACGACGATGCAACGACATGAACTTATTGTCGGACCTTTTCCGCCCTCTCCCCCCTCCTTTGACCCCTTGATGTCTTAATACCCTCTCCCGCTTACTAACTGTTGACCGGATGCTTAAACTGCTATCACTCTACCCTCCCTCATATTACTGTAATTGCCTGATGATGAACGCTCGAAACAATACGTTCGTCAAGCTTGACTTCGTGAATGCTTACATGGGTATTATCGCTGGACATAATACTAAAAGGCAACAGACGATGAAGAAGCAACGACTGTTGGCGTTAGAAGGATAATAGGGTCGTGATGGTGGCATTCAATCCTGCGAGCCCTCAACGTTTCCCTTAGAAACATTCTTAAAGAAAACCGAATGCCTTTAGGGTACTTCGAAAAAACTCAGCGGAAATACGGTCTCAAATGAGATGCGCAAGTGATAAATTGTCATTTTACCAAATCGCTGAAATTCTGCTTAGGCCAATTATTAACAGTATAGACGGCGCAAGAGCAAAAAGAAGAAGTAGAGCATTGAAACTTGCATCTGAAGGCATGTTAGGGCCGAACTTAAACAATTTAACATAGTAAACTATTTTCGCTCACATATAGCATTCTAGATGGAGCGGGTTCTGCCAAAGGATGGTCTTTATACGGTGTTTTTTTTTTATTAAATAAATATATTCAGTTTGAACATGGGTAGATTTTTTCTTGTACTAGATTCGAAGAGATAATTACGTTAGCTAGGTATTGAGGGCCAGTGATAGGAAAGTAACCGATTCCCCCACAATGACGATGAGCAGACTTGGGTGAACCCTGCTATGAATTTTATAAAAGGATCCGCTTCACTGGAGCATTAATTAGTATTCTCATGCATAAGGTGGCTACATCTTCGAACAGCAGAGTGTTTACGTACTGGTTCGTTAGCGTTCACTTCCGCGTTAACCGCCTGTAGCTGGGCCATGCGTTGGCGAATCTGTGGCAGCGGCATGGCGTCGTCGGGACACTTCTCCACGAAGTCTCGTATGTTTTGCACGGTGGCCTGCTTTTCGCCCAGCCAGTCGTCCAGATCACCGACTTCATCGTGGAATCGCACTCGATTGAGACCATCTTCCAATCCTTCATCCCGCTTGGCAGCTCGTTTTAAGGCACGATCGGCTTTACCACGTAAGCGCTCGCAATTTGCCGCCAACGGATCAGCGTACTTTCTACAAAGAAATGAATCATGTGTAAAGAAAGAACCACTCTGGAAGACGGTCATCCTGTTGATTAGGCTGCTACCGAGTCTCTGTAAAATATTCATGAGAGTGCACCAAGACAAAATTAACCGAATTTCCAAAGTAGTATTTTTCGTTAGGAGTAATGAAACAGGTGGAGGTCAAAGATGTAAAATGTGCCGACCACAAACAATAATACATCGACCTCCAGCCAAACATGTGAAAGCTAAACTCCTCTACTAAAACTAAGTCTTTATCTCATAAGATGTGCAAATTTGGACCTAGTGTTCGTTAAAATCTGCTGACACTATTTTCTCAGTCGCAGGTGACTTTGTGCTGTAAATAATGCTGTCTTCGTCCTATGGACATTTAAAATGCGATATTTTTCAACCTGATCAGGCCATTACCTGGCATACATTTAGAAACTTCAACTAGGTATGTGTACTGTGAAAGGGACTTGGCAGTCTTATTCATGACGCTAAAAATAGGAAACGGGAAAACGAATATTTCTTAATACGTATTACTTACTTGGACATGTCAGGTGCTTTTATCTTCTCCTCAACAGCATCGATAGCGGCTTTGTTCCGTTCCAAGTCAAGTTTTATAGCAGCAACACGACGCTTTTCTCGGTCAACATCATCTGCAGAGAGCTGGAAAAAACAGCGAAAAGGATGATACTATTATGGAGACCAGATTATTTTTAAAACACGGATCTGAAGCAGCATTGGCGAAGGGATGTCTTGAAGAGCAGCAGCAACAGTCCAAAGTTTTGAATTGTTTAAATCGTAATGAGACCTGCTACGGCCATTGAGGCAACGTTTTAGATTCTCGAGTGAAATGCGGAGAATTAGGATGACAGCTTAGACCACATGGTACCTGTAAACATGAGTAAATCAAGCAGGCTCTCTGTGCGATAAGCAAGCTACCAAAAAGGGATCCTTTATTAGTATTCGCCAAGGTGTTGTCCTTTTGGGGATTGGAGAGCCGCTAGTGTAGGTAGCCTTTACTGTTTTCAATAGTAAACTATGACCTTGGTCTAATAAATCATACCCTACCCTCGCCGTGTAATACAAGCAAGATTAAAAGGGGATTTGGGGTACATCAGAACAATTCATTTGGCGCAATTGTGATAAAAATCGACGAACTCAATGAACTTCGAACCCATAACAGCCAACGTTCTAACCAGCTCAACTAAGAGACTCCGTCGGGAGCCCAAAGTTTAACACTATTTGGGTAAAATTCCCCGTCCAGTTTACTTCAAGGTATGCAATGCACCAATCCTGATACAGGGAACTGAACCAAAGGAACAGTTTTGGGTGTATAAGATGCCACAAAACGCCGATGCGGTTTTCGCCGGATGCCCGAGTAACACGAAGCATGAGTTTAGATGAAAGAACATACCAATGGTTCAGTCATATCCAGTCGGACAGAATCTTCCTTGATTCGAGCCTCGATTTTGTTCAAATTGTCTTTCAGTGCCTAAATTTAACATAAAATATAGTGAATCCCAGCCGCATGACAAATAGGTTAGTGAAAGCTTCACCTCCCGGTAACGAACCTGCGCCGCCAGAGCATCGTTAATTGAACGCTTGCGATTCGCCAGGTCTCTTTTCAAACCCTCGTTCCGCATGGTGAGTCCTTCAGCAGCCTGACACATATCATTTTTGCTTTTGCATTCAGGTGGCAAATCATTGGCCCGCATACACAGAGCTTCTGCCCTGAAATTGTATAGAAGCAGTGTTGAAGGTTAGTGTGCAAAGTGTTTGCAAATTTAGACCGAGAGGGGTTTTGTTTATTTGATCCAAAACGCCTCCGCTCCCTGGACCAGACTCATTCCAGCACAAATAAGCAAATACTTCTGTTTTGTAATATTAGCACTGGAAGTTCCACCCGACCCTACATTCAGGGCATTCGGCAAAACAGAATAACAGGGAAATCGAATATGTGGCCCCACTGTCATACGAGGATGATCGTAATAAGGGTTTTGTGGTCGAGTAACCAAGATTGACAGACAGATGTTTTCGGAAGGTCAGAGTTGCGTAGCTAGCTTGTTTAAATATAGCCCGAGCGCGCGATAGGCAATACAGAAAAATATTGCCTCATCGGCAACCCGGAACAGATGATCACCGTGCACTACGCAATATGAGTGACTTAGAAGTACAAGTAACCCTTTTGAAGATGCTCTTAATGTACGCTGAAGCAACAGGAGAACCTTGTGTGTAGAGAAATCGACCAACTGTGTGATAAAAGGACCTAATGCTTCCAATTGCTTGTCATGCAACGTCATCCTAATAATGGGAAGATGCACAATCTGTGTAACCGTCCCCTCCTTCTTTCTCTAATACACATTCACACAAGAGTTCTTCTGTTGGTGGGTTGGCATAGCCGCTTTTTCTTTATTCCAGTACTGACAGCATGGTTTAAGACGCAGAGGTAGTTTCCCTGGGCACTGCGATTCAGAGTATGCTTGACAGGATGCTTAGAGATACCTCAGTTTGTTTCTCAGGTTGAAAACATTTCCGAAGCACGTTCAGTTTAGCAGAAGTAGAGCAGAATTAGGTAGGAGATTCGATTGATCTCTTACTTTTACCAAGCACTGAGCGTTGAATATTAAAGTAGATCTCACATTTCAGACTTGCAGTCCTACAGAGGGAATTCTGGCTTAAGACTTGGAGCCAGCAAACAACCGATATAGTTGGGTTTTTCGCTCAGAATCGTTTGTCAGACTAGGTCTTCCTGGGGGTTCCGAGTTCTTCGATTCGAAATAAATGATAGCTGACCGGGTGGAGAAGGCGTAACGAACTGTAGTCATTGAAGTAGGCGTAGATAATAACATAAAATGCCGACAGTCTTAGCCAAAAAGGTATTCCCGACACAGACCAGACCGTATTCTCAAACATTATAATGCAATAAAACAAGCATCTGAAGTCAGTTCTTGGTAAATGGAGTCTGGCTGTCATAAACGCATACACTGTTGTCAAAACCAACCACACAAACCGAGGCTCGTTGGAAATTTATAAAAAGAAAAGAGGACAAACAGTTTATTCCTCGTCTTTAACCAACACGACCTAACTTATAAATAGATAAGCTATAGAACTAAATGCCAGATCTCAGAAAGAGGGCACAGAATAAGTCAGCCTTCCTATCAAAGTAAATGGACGTTTAAAAGGCGGAGAGTCAATGGCGGCAGAAGAAGACTGATTAATTAATTTCTGAGAGGATAGTTAACATGAAGCACTGGTTTCACATGGACAGGTTTGCGGTTCGAATTCCATATTCAGTGAAGGACCTTCCTTAAGAAAAACAATTGATGGTCGGAAAGAATTGTGAAATATTCGTGTGTGTCTGCCCACTTTCTAAAAGGCTCATATACCCCCGAACGGCGAAAACTTTTGGAATCATGTAGGATGCTAACTGGACCCTCGGGCATATATATCTTTAGCGTTAAACCGCACCTTCTGCTTGTATCTACGGTAATTCCCGCACAGTAATAAAGTACATCCGGTTTTTTTCTGTATGCATGGGTGATACTGAGTTAGCGCACACTGTCAAACGTTTTCACATTAAATGGCCGAATTTGCATTATTTGGTTAGTGCACCTTTTATACACGTAATCCCCCACCACCACCATCCCGTCTAGACCGTTTGCACTTACGCTAAAAAGAAAAATGCTTTCAAGAAGTACTCGCCAGAGTCCACTGCATCTGGCCAGCAAAATATGTCCCCTGACTCTGTTCGGCTAAAGCAGGCCCTGCTTGGTGCCTAATAGGAACAACAGGGGAAAGCACAGGTAATGGAGATGACAACAAGAAAAATCGAAATCCGCGGCGAGAGTACTGATTTAAAACCTACTCTCTGTCATACAAATTCAGTGCCTCGTCAAGATCGTCCGCCTTGCGTGCTGCGTCTTGAAGGCTGTCGGAAGGGAGCAGACACTCCAGCGCGTTGGCGTCCTTTGGAGCGATGCGCCTCTGGTCGCTCTCCTTCATGTGCTGAATCTGCTCGTCGGCATCGTCCAACTTGCGAGACAGATCTTGCAGACGTTCTTGTAGTTCCAGTGTGTCGGCTGTTTCAGCGGCCTTATCACCCCTTTCCTTGAGGAGGTTCTGTCCGAAGAAATTGCAAGAAAACAAAACGCTACAGCTACAAGGCCTGACAATATCAAGTTCTGAAGGATTTCAATTAAGATTATGAAAAAATGAAGACGTCTGGTAATGAGATCAGTAAGTGGTGTTGCCGAGAACAATGGGTCAATAAACGGGAAAGGCCGAATCATCAACTCATTGGGATTTGAACAACTGGACAAACGTAGACTGCAGGAGCAGATTGCTAGAAAACATGCTTACGGTGCTAATGGAGAGTGGAAAAGAGACTAAAAGCAGTACCTAATAGAATGATGCGAGTCAAACGTAGAGATAATACGAAAAAGGAAGAACGAGTACGAGGCGTAGGAGAAGGAATGTGGTGGCGGTGTTGGCTGTGGCTGTGGTCGACTAAATAAAGAAACAATATAGAGCACGTTTCTGAACTTTTCATGGACACCTGGGATATAAAAATGCCGCTTGCCCGAAGCATAAAAAGACGATAGTAGACACTTCAGC